GGACGGGACAGGCCTGTCGGGGTGTCGTGAAGGGGGTGTGGAGGGCTTGGGAATTGCAGGGGGGCTGTGAGAAGGGTTTCAGCACGGGCGCTGGAGAACTGCTGAGGGGGGACAGAAGTTCTCCAGGGTGTCTTAGGTTGTTTCTTTTAAAAAAAAAAAAAAAAAAGTTGTCCGGGGTCTTAAGTTGTCAAAAATAAAGTTGTCCAGGCTGTTAGGTTGTTAATTAAAGTTGCCCGGGTTGTTCAAAAGACTGCTGATCGCGGGGGAGAGGTCAGCAAAACCCCGGTTAACTTGAAGCAGATTTTGTTGAGGTGTGGGTAAGGCTTTTTAATTTGAAGCGTCGTTAAAGCTCAAAAATAAACCACCAAAGGGGGTGTAGTGAGCGCTTCCATCACTGAAGCGGTTCAAATTAAAGGAAAACTCTGTGGGGAGCGGCGTAGGTGTGGAGGGGTTTGTGGGCGCGGGGTCGGCGGGGCTGGCTCAGGCCCTTCTGCCTGCTCCGGCATTGCCAGGCTGCGCGCAGCCGTCCCTGGCACTGCCCGGCTCCCCCGACCTTTTGATCTGTGTCTGAAAATCGTTGTGTGGGGACGGCTTCAACTCCTGAGCTGGAGGAAAACTTGAGAGCGGACGGAGCAGGCGGATGGGGTGACTTTGGCTTTTCGGGGGTCCCCCCCTTGCTCTGTTAGCAGGGTGCGCAGGGGATGAGCTGGCAGGGCTGATTCCAGCGTCTCCTCCTGCCTTAATTCCTTAATTCCTCCCACAGTTGGGGCTTTGAATTCCCAGTGTCAGCATGTAGCAAAGCCCTGGCAGAGCGGCTGCTCCTGCCCCTGAGCTGCACCGTGCTCAGGAGCTGTAGGCTGAGCCAGCGTAACTGTGTAGTTTCTTCTATTTTATTTTTTTTTTAACTGGTGGTGTGCAAAGCTCCGCAGTGTGTAACTCTGTACGCGTAGCTCCGTATCGAGATGGCTGATGATAACGAAGACCTGCAGGCAGATGAAGAGCTCCCGGCTCCAGCTGAGGACAGCTTTGAGCAGCTGGAGAACGACAGCCCCGCGGAGCGCAGCGGGCACGTGGCCGTCACCGACGGGCGCTGCATGTACGTCTGGGGAGGCTATAAGGTAAGCAGCTCTCCTCCTTAGGTAACCCCTCTGCCACCCGTGGCGCTGGGAATTACGTCCCATTAGTTTGGGAGTGACTCTAAAATTATCCCTCCCCCAGAAAAGAAAAGCTCCGGTTAACAGATTAGAATGTGACATTCAAGAGTTTCGAAATATTGAAATAAACCCTGTTCGATGCAGATCTTGGCAAACAGATAACTTTTGTGGGATGCGGGGTGGCGTTTGCCTCTGTCAACTCCCGTGTCTGTTGGAGGAGAAGGAGAGACTGATTTGACGTGCGCGCCGTGCGAAACGGGGCTTTTATTTCCAGAGTTATCAGCGCGACTGCACGTTGCATGTTAATTAACGATCACGAGTTGGTTATTTATCACCCTGGGGTGTGTGTGTACTGCCAGCAGAACCCAGTCATTTTACAATTTTGACAGTTTTGATGACGTTCGTGAAGATGAATTCTCAATGAACTCAGTAAATAAATCGGTAGCTCAAGACAAAGCTTTGGTGTATGGCTCTGGTGGTGTCATGTAGGGAGCAGGGGAACTATAAAGGAAATTTTGGCTCATTAGTGCACACTACTTGTCCTGACTGGGCTATGAAAAGGAAGTTTAACTTCCACTTACCCCAATCTGGCTCTGCTGGGAGCTTGTCTGGCCCCCAGTGGAAGCTAAAAAAGGCAAATAGCTGCTCTCTGAGGGCTGCTGTGCAGGTGAGGGGTAAAGGAGTGTGGCAGGCACCGCTCCTGCTGCTTTCTGTTGTGATTACATCTCCAAGGGGGTGTAAACATTCACAGGAGCCTGTAATTCAACGCGTCAAACGTCCTTCTAATGTTGCTTTTTCTTTTCTGACCTGTTCTGCAGAACGCCCAGGTTAGGGGATTTTATGACTTCTACCTGCCTAGAGATGAAATATGGATCTACAACATGGAAACTGGAAGATGGTAAATAATTAATTGTGGGTTGGGTTGGGGTGGGGGGAAGATAAAATCTTAAATGAGTATAGAATGTGTGCTGAGGGTCTCTGAACAGAGAGGGAATTCCCTGACCTCTTTGTTCCCACCTATCAGACTGCTCATAAATGTGTAAAAATGTTTCCAAATTATTTTTTTTATCTGTGAAAACAACAAATATGGGTTTCTTTCTGTGAAAACAACAAAGACGTTTTCACAGGGTGAAGTAGGAGAGGCAGCTCGGACAGATCAGCTTATACAGGAGTGTGATCAACGGTGTGAAGTGTTTTGGGGTGCCTGGGATAGGATATAGCACCTGAAAATGTATTTGTGCCATTTTTGATTGCAGTGCTACGTTGGTGAGGGAGCCCGTATTGAGTTTTAAAAGAGTTGGTCTTTTTAAAGAGTTGGTTTTAAATTTTGATGCGGTCAGAGAAACAACTGTGTCATTTTAGATCACGGGGAGCCTGGAAGTTGGGTGAAACCTGCCTGATAGTGGGAGAAGAGGGAATCCAGCACTGTGGCTCTGTCACCAGCGAGGGCCTGGGGCTGCAAAGCCGGGTCCCCTCGGTGCTCTGCAGAAAGTGCTGCTTCAGCACCAGTTCCCTGCAGCTCGGGAGAGCCTTGGCCATGGGCTGGAAGCTCAACTTTGTGGTTATAATGTTTACAACATTAAAAAATCCAGTAGCAAAATAGAAACCTTTAGTTTAGACAGGTGCATCCTCTTTGCCTGGGGATCTTTCTGGGGATTTTGAATGTGAAAGGCAGAGCAAACTCCTGAACTGGGCAGACGGGATTCCTCCCCCTCAAAACATGTATTAATTAACTAGCTTTTTCCCCACCCCTCTCCGTCATACCAGGTTTAGTGTTTTAAATTGTTAAACCTGCAAGAACTCATAACTGAATGGTCCACAGCGACAGACTGCGATTAAAAACGTACCGGTGGTGGTATAAAATTCCACCCCGGGGAAAATCGTTCCTGTTCATTTTTATCAGATAAAATATTTTAACCTGTGCTTCTAGGAAGAAGAGTAAAACAGAGGGAGATGTTCCACCTTCCATGTCAGGAAGTTGTGCCGTGTGTGTAGACAGAGTGGTGTACCTCTTTGGAGGACATCACGCACGTGGCAATACCAACAAGGTTAGTAAGTCAAAGATAAACCCTTCCTCACAAATAAGTTTCTCCTCATTTGCTTTTGTTCCCACTTTTTATAAAACTAGAGGTGGCCTTTTCAGTTCATTAAAATCCATCCAAAGCAAGAAACGTCTAACAGCGAATCATGGGAAGGTTTTCTTGTGAATGACTGGACAGGTTGGATCTCGTTTCAGAGCTTAAATGTTAATAATGGGGGATGCTGAGCAGTCACTGCGTCCTCCGTGGCTTCTGCAGGGTAATATTTTCATCTGCTGGCTGTATCTCTAGTTGGTGGAAGCAGATAACGAGCTTTCTCATCCTGTCAGCAGCTTCCTGGGGATGTGAACTAATTCTTTTTGTGCTTGCCTAAGAGGTTTTGTCAACAAAATACAGTGCTTACTGCTTGGATTATTTTATTTTTTTTTCCATGCAGGTGATTAGCTGGCTGACTTTTACCAGTTCAGTTCAGTGTATTAATTTCTCTGCAACGGGTCAGATAACGTGATGTTTGTAAAACAGGTCAGCCTTCAGCTCTGCATCATTTCACATGGTGATTGTACCCTGGTAGCTTTACAGCTCTGAAGAAACACCACAACCTGTTATTTGCTTTAGTTGCAGTTGCTCTTGTGCAATTCACCCTATAAATTGTTATCACCTTGGTGCTTTTGAGTTGGCTTCTTTTCCAAGATGGGAATTCCCAGAGTTCTCGCAGATAATATCAGGAGGTGATTCGTAACTGCTCTGTAGTTGTTGGAAACGTTATTCTTCTCCAGAGTCTCTGGTAATACCTCCTGATGTTCTGGAAGTGTGGTTTAAATTAAATAGTTTTGGCCTCTCTCTTAAATATAAACTCAAAGTAGCTTGATGTAATGCTTGTAAATAGTCTGAAACAAACTACACGTATAAAACGTGACTTGCTTCCTTCCTGCTGTGGTATTCTTTCAGTTAGTTTATATATGTGTACCAGCTATTTCTCTCCATGTAAAATGATGTAGCACGCAGAGACAGGATGATACCGTAAAAACAAAACACCTTTTTTTTTTTTTTTTTTTTTAAGAAAATTACTACTTTGTACTCAACTTCATTATATCCCGTGGCAGCTTTTGGATGGTAATACTTAATGTCCATTGTTCTGTTACTTAAAGTGTTTGAGGCTCAAGTCTGCAAAAAGGATATTTGGATCTGTATTTTGTTCCAAACATTGTCAGTGCTCTGTGCAGCTCGGAAAAGAACTTTTAAATTTATTTCTATACCGATACATGCTAATTAAAAGTTAATATTTGAACATCAGTCAGATTTAAGCTTTAAGCTAACTGTGTGGGTAAAAAAAAATCGTTTTATTTTCTACAGTTCTACATGTTGAATTCCAGATCCACGGACAAAGTGCTGCAGTGGGTCAGAGTAGAGTGTCAGGGGGTACCCCCTTCATCAAAGGACAAACTTGGCGTTTGGGTTTACAAAAACAAGTAAGGCTCCAGCAACGAAGTCAGCACAGCCAACCTTGCGCGTGTGTTTGCTTTTAATCACTCTTAGTCTTGTCACTGTTTTGTCTTTTTGTTTGAACGAGAGCTGCAGGAGAACTTCTTACCTGCTGCACACCAGATCCTGGATTTCTTCCCCAGCCAGGCTTTTAGATCTGTTCCGTCCTTTAACGGTTGATAAATGAAAAACCTCACTCCCTGTTTGGGGATGTGTGACTCTGTGTGAGTCACAATCCAAAATGTAACCTCGTCACAGGCAAATCTCCCCAAGCCCCCTGCATGGTGGTTACTTGTGTCAGCCTCGTTCCTCCCCACAGCCGCGTCGGGAATTATTCGGGAATTGTGAAGGGTTCACAAAAAACAATCTTCTGGTCACGTCTTGTGGGACACTTTGCCTTTCTGTGAGAGTGATGAAGAGCAGGAAGACATTTTAATCTTTTTTGTTTAATTTGGGGTGTTTTGTGCTGGTTGCACAAAATGAGGAACGTGCTAGAGGAAATGCCGCTGATTTAATGTGTTAGGGTAGTTGTCCCAGAGATGCCAGAAGGCCTTTAGGCACTGCCAGCCCTGGAGAGGAGAAGGAGGACGAGGAGAAGGTGTTGAAGCTGGATGAGCTGATGTGCAGAATGTTGCTGTTGCCTTGTACCCTCCTCCCCAATTCGGTGGTGTGAGTCCCCTCGGCAGGGAGCTGTGTGCTGAGATCCTCCTGGCACGGGGGGACCGACCGAGGGGAGAGCCTCTTGTGGGCAGGGGGTTTCCTGCTTCCTCCAGCTCGCTGCATCCCAGCTGCTCGGGAGGCTGGGGATGGGGGTGAATTACCTCTGGGGAGGCTTTCAGCCCTCGTCTCAGAGCATCTACCCAGGGCTGGTTCCTCGGAGGGTTCCTGGAGGACTCCAGAGTGCTCTGGCACAGGTCAGGGCTGACGTGGCCAGAGTTGTCCCCTCACAGGGGAAGCTGGAAAGGCTGATCCCCACCGAGCAGGGCGCTCTCAGGACTGCGTGGGGCTGGGGAGGGCTGAGGGGAAGATGAAGGGACGGTCAGGGGCCTCGAGCCCCCCTTTGGTCACAGCTGGCAGAGTTACAGGTTCTGTGGTGTCACGGCAGGGTGGGGGTTTCAGCTGTTCCTACAGAGCCGTTCCTGGACAGCACGGCCTTCCTCTGTCCTGCCTGTGTCACCTCTGGCTCTGCTGAGGCAGAGAGCAGGATTGCTGTAAGCTGTGTTTGAGACGTGTACAGTGGTTTGGGGGTAAAACAGTGCTGCTTTGTGCATGACGTAGAGAGAAAGCTCGCTGTGAAGAGGATTTGCCATGTGATTTGCTGTAGGGACTCGTGCAAGGCAGGAAAATGGTGCTAGTTTTCAGAGCCTTGATGTGGAGAGAAAGCCGATACTTGATGGGATCAGTTGCGGTGTAAATCTGTGCAAGGCTGGAGTTGTGGGTGTTTGGTTAGGGGGTGTAGGTTGTTTTCTGTTACTTCATAACCCAATAGGAATTTGTGGCAAAGTGATGCCGTTCATTTCTAATACATGCTGAAACCCAAACATAAAGATAAATCACATTTTAAAAACCAAAAGAACAGCAAAACCGGACGGCTCAAAGGTAACTTCTTCAGGCTTTGAAACAAAATGCAACAAAGGAAAATGCCTTCCTCTCCCAAAACAAAAAAACTTCCCAAGCAGCCTCACTGCAGGCAGCATGTTTGGGTCTGCTCCTGCCCCGCCGAGCTCACGGCCCCGCAGCACCCAGGTGGTAACACTTTGCCTCCCACGGGAGTGTCTGTGAACGTGTCGGGCTCAGGAAAAATGGGCAGAGGGCTTGGAAAGGGCAGAGTTGGGAAACGGTGGGAATAAAACCCCCGTAGCTGCAGTGTGGGAGCCCCGGCAGCGATGGCTGCGGCACAGCAAGGCCTGGAAGCTTCACGTGTTTGGAAGCGGAGCAAAGCTTGAAAGCCCGAGGCCTGGGAAACAGCCACAGAGGGATTTCGTGGGGGTGGTGGGGGCGATTGGGCAAGAAACGGGGCCCCACACCTGGAAAACCTGCAGTGTAGACGTATGGGAAGTAACGAAGCCAAGGGAGCTGCCCTGGTTTTCCTGTCTTCTGTTTGAGCGCAGCCGTTGCAGAAGTTTTGATTTGTAGCAACATTTGCGATTGCATTTCTAATTGATCTCGATGCACATTTTGTTTCAGGCTAATATTTTTTGGAGGTTACGGTTATTTTCCTGAAGGGAAACAACGGGGAACTTTTGAATTTGATGAAACCTCTTTCTGGGTAAGTAAAGCCAGAAATAATTTCTATTTAAACTTTCATATTTAATTAGTGTTTATTCAACCTCATTGCTTATTTAATATTTTCAAAGAATTCAGGTCTTCCGAGAGGATGGAACGACCACGTGCACGTTCTGGACACTGAAACTTTCACTTGGAGCCAGCCCATAACTACGGTAATGATTGGCCTTCCGTCAGTTATTTGAAGTTACAGCTCTTAAGATCTGGGTGGGTTGTGTGCCACATCTCTTCTAGCGTCCTATGAAAATAAGCATGACTCTGCTAAGCCTGGCTTTGCTGCTTTGTGTTGAGTTAGAAGAGGGTGCTGAGAAAGTGGCCTCCCCGGGTAGCTGTGCGGGGTAGGCAGCGGCCTGTCCCCGCAGCGGTGGCTTTGGGCCGTTCCTTTGCAGCGTGGAGCTGTCCTGACCTGTTACATCTCCCGTCCCAACCTGTTTGATCTAGTCTGGATCTCCCTGGCGTTATTTTAGAAGATGTGGTTTACTGTTTACAAGCCAGAAGGACAGAAATTCACCCCAAATAGATATTTCTTGCTCTCCTGCTCCACCCCGCAGCCTTGTTTATGAGTCACCAGTCTTTAACCGCCGTGTCAGGTGCTCTGTGATCCTGCCTTCTGCGGGATATAAGCCAGTCCTAAATGCCAGGAGTTAGAAAAGACAGAAGAGCTCTCGGAAATCCCTAGCGCTGGCTGGCCAGAGGATGTGGAAAATGAGACAGGGGACTCCCCAAACGGACTGTGTGGGGCTGATTGTGTGTCAGTGGTTCTTGCTACGTTTTCTCCGTGGGGACAGACCTCAGGCTGCTGCTCTGGCTTCCATCCTGGGACAGGCACTCTGATCCGACCCGGGGAGGGGACCTGGCCAGGAGCTGAAGCTTAGGGCTGTGTGACCAGGGTTCTCTTCCCTTCCAGCGTCCTTCCCTGCGCCTTGCTCTCTGGCCAGCGAGGTGGGACTGTTACTTGTGTTAATTGTGGGACTGTTAGTTGTGTGCGGGCTCCGTGAGGCGTCCAGAGCTTGTGTTTGCACTCCTGCCTCCAACTTAAAGAGAGGGATTTGGAAAACTGTTGGTAGAACAGGCCTTGGAAACATCCCCTCAAAATAAACATCTCCTGAGGCCATTTAAACTGAATTTAAACCATTCGTTTCCCTGCGGCCTCTTTCCAAAAGTGGGAAACTTGCCTTTTATTCTGATTTGTCCTCCTCCATCTTTTTTTCCTGTGGACTTTCTCTCATGCCTCGGTGGCGCTGTGCTCGTGGGGAGCTCAGGAAAACAAAATGTGTGATTTCCTGTCATCCTGGCCGTAATGTAACCGTTCAGTACTGAATTGTGGCCAAAACAAAATGAAACACTCTGTAACTGCAAATACACAGCGGGTGAAGTGGCCCAGAAGTAGTTCAGGAACAGGCAAATGGAGTGATAGTGCCACGGAACTGGAGGAAATGAAATTCGAGAGAAGTAACTCGTTATTCAGATTACCAAAGAATTGCTTTGTCGTACTACGTACAGATCTCAAATATTTCAGAAGTAACTCAGGAAAAATAGTGTTTAATGATCTATTTTGTCATTGTCTCATTTACCAGCTGAGGTTTTCTGTGTCTGACTGAACTCCCTTCTAAAGCAAAATTTATACCTTGACACTTAAAGAGGGAAGGGGGGGAAATCCCATTTTTAATGGGGTTTTTATCATCCATCCATAAAAGTGAGTTTCTGCACACAGAATGACTTGCTGGATGTTTTTTCACTCTCTGTTCCTTGTTGGCCTTAAATCTAACTTTAATTCAGCCTTTCATCTCCTCGGGTGACTGATTTGTGGAAGTGTGAGCCCTTGCTTGCCTTGAGCCAGGGGAGCTCTCCTGGGTGAGGGGCCCGACCAGGTTTCTGGTCGAACGACATTTTCTTTCTTTTGTTAATGGACTCACCTTCTTATTTCACATTTTCTAGGGTAAAACTCCGTCACCACGAGCCGCTCACGCCTGTGCTACCGTTGGGAACAGAGGCTACGTGTTTGGTGGCAGATACAGAGTAAGCCCAGCCCAGTTTAACGCTGTGTTCCTGAAACCAGAGCGGAGTATTTCAACCCTGCTCTGCTTTATTGTAGGAGTCCAGAATGAACGATCTTTACTACCTGAATCTGGATACGTGGGAGTGGAGTGAAATGTAGGTACTAAAACTTGAGTTCTTTTGTTTCTAGAGCAATGTGAAGATGCCAGTTTTAGTCTCTTTTAAGCATTCTCGGGTAGATAAACTCAGGTAGAACTGATCCTCCAGATCAGCTGCTGACTCTTGCTGTCAGGGTTTTTTTTTAAGTATCGATACGATTAAAATTCTTTTACTGTGTCTAAAAAAATGAAACTTGCTGTTGGGTCACGAGCTCTGCGCAGAATGAAGTTGCAGCCTTCAAATACCTAAAAAAAATAATCGGAGCAGAAAAGAACAGCAGTATTTTTTTGTATAATTTATGGTGCTTTTATTGAAATACAGAATCACGCAAGGGATCTGCCCCGTCGGCCGATCATGGCATTCCTTAACACCGATTTCCTCGGATCACCTCTTTCTCTTTGGAGGATTCACCACTGACAAGCAGCCATTGAGTAAGTCACTCCACATGGATTTCCTGTTGCTTTTGTGTTCTTGACCAGTTGTGCACAGAAACTTCAATTATTGCCTCGTCACCTTAAATTCTTGCTAAATTCCTTCCATGCACTCGTGAGCCAACTCCTTATGGTCAACAGCTAATTCCACAGAGCAGGAGTCACGGAGTGTGTTGAGACACTATTATTTATAGAAATTAAACTGCTTTAAAAATGCATCATCTAATGTAAATCGCTGTTAGTAAGAGCTTTACAGCTCTCCATCTTGCCCTTTTGACTTCGCTCCTGTAAACCACTATTAAACACCTGTTTTTCAAACAGGTAGCCCAACGTTTCGTGAGGTTTTTCCTAAAATGCTTGATTTATTTAAGATTGAAAAAGGACTGTGTTATACCAGAGCGTGTATTTATTACAGCAAATGTGAAAGAACTCACACAATACTGTTTGTATTTGGGGTGTTTTGCCTGTTTTCAGGCGATGCTTGGATTTATTGCATCAGCAAGAACGAGTGGATACAGTTTGAGCATAACTACTCTGAAAAACCAAGGTATGGTAGACTCCTTCCTGGAAAATTATTTAAAAAAAAAAAAAAAAAAGTGAAGAAGCATTTACTGGTGGCTGTCAGAAGAGAGGACACACATTCCTTTTTACAGCGCTCCTTTTTTTTCATGTCACACTCCCGTGCTAGTCCCTACCCCCAAGGGCTGGGGCATCAAATGCACTCACAAAACGTGAGATGGCTGCGGTGCTGGGCTTGGGAAAGGGCGGGAAACGGGGATTTTTGGATTTGAATTGGCTGTGGAAGGCCCCGAGCTGGGACTGTGGGCACAAGAGTGAACTGGAACCTGTGGGTTCTGGCTCTGGCAGCAGCCAGGACGCGGGTGGGTGTTGCCTTTCTGAGCATCCTCGCCAGGGGCTAATCCTGTGTGCATCCAGGATTATTTTTGTCTTCCTGCTGAGTAAATTAGAGACGATGACCTGCACTTCGAAAGCATCAAAACTGCCGTGATGCACCTACATGGTGTTGAAAACACTCATGTCACGTGAGTTACTGGGAGCTGTCGTACAGCTCCCAGCTGTACTGGGAGCGCGTCGTTCTGGGCGCAGTGGAGTGAGGTAGAGCAGCTTCCTTTGGCCCTGGGGACGAGGAGGGGTGTTTTCCTGGCACAGTAACAAGGCCGAGCTGCTGCCCTTTCCTCTTCAGAGCAGCAGGACAGAGCCCTGGCTGTGCTGAACGCATGTGTGAGGCAGTTGTTTCCCCAAGTCCTGGGAGAAAACATAAAAAAATCTGACTCCATTCAGTCTTTGGACTCGAGAGGGATGTGAAAATAAAATCTGTGTGAGCAGCTCAGGCTTCACTGACCTGTTTTCTTTCTCTGAACTCTGGTTGAATTAGTCACACCTGCAGCGTACTGGTGGCTGCATGAACCCCTCTGTGTTTTAAACACAAATCCTAAACCTGCATTCTTGGGCAGGATGATTTTGGCGCTTCTGTGATTTTGTGATCCTGGGGGTTTAATGCAGTGCTGACTTCTGTTTCTAGGTTGTGGCACACGGCTTGTGCAAGTGAAGAGGGAGAGGTGATCGTCTTCGGGGGCTGCGCCAACAACCTACTTGCTCATTCTAAAGCTGTGAGTTCATTTTGAGCTTTCCCTTCCTGGGGGAGCCAGGGTGTTTCACCTCCCCAGCCAGTGTGAAATGCCCATAGTCAGCACAGGGACTGACAGAGGTGCAGAAAGCAAGCCTGAAGAGGAAATGTTTTGCTGCTTTTGTGGAAACCAGGTCATTAATCATTATTTAAACAAACTGAATTAGTTAATTACTTAGAGACACACACGTGTTTCTCTTGGAGCCTGTTATCTCCCACCTACTTCTACAGCTTTGCCCAGTGCTCCTCCTGGGGGTGTTTTCAGGGAGCCCCTCCCAAAGTAATTTCATCACTGGGAGGCCTGGGGAGCAGAGCCTGAGCAGAGAGGGGCTCTTCAGCCAGGCCCGGTCGTGGCTGGGGAGGGAGACCAGGAACGAGGGTGCCAGCAGCAAAAAAGGAGTGGTGCAACAGTTCTGTAATGCACCAGTGGCTGGGAGCTTTGTGTGCATTTAAGGAGCAGGCTTAACCATTTTACCAAAAAAAACCCACCAACCAAAAACCCAAACCAGAACAACCCTGACTGTCCCTGTGTCCAGAGTCCCTCCGTGCAGATCCCCAGAGACTTGGACACTCTGCCTGGTCAGGCGGCTGCCGTGACAAGGTGAACCCACGTAACCAAAGCGCTTCTCTCTCCCTCCCAGGCTCACAGTAACGAAATACTTGTGTTTTCTCTACAACCGAGGTCTCTCGTAAGGTAAGAAAGCAACACTCCACCATTAAACTGTCACGTCTCCATCTGAGACAAGTCGTGCAGGGTTAGTGCCAGGCTCGGTTTACGTCCCTGAAATATCTGAAAACATTTCAGCGCAGCGTTAGCGCCAGACCCGTTTATGTTCCTGAAATCTTTGAAAACATTTCTCCCTCTTAATGCTGAAAAGAACAGCAGCCAGTTCTGAGGGGCTAGAGCAAGATTCCTTTTGTTCCACGAGGACAAGGGACAAACCCTCACTAAACAGCTGTAAAGTCTGAGCTTACCTTGCAGCCCTGGGTGCTAACGGCGGCCGTTTCCCTCTCCCCAAGGCTCTGCCTGGAAGCAGTCATCTGCTTTAAGGAAATGCTGGCCAGTTCCTGGAATTGCCTCCCCAAGCACTTGCTGCACAGCGTCAATCAGCGCTTCGGAAGCAACAACACCTCGGGCTCCTGAGCCCACGGATGGGCAGTTCTAAGATGTAATAATTTTACCAAGCGTGGCAAACTTAAAACTTGTCTAAATTTATCTGTAGCGTGGTAGGTAGTTGCTTCTTGCCTTTAAGTTGCATGTGAATGGCCTAGAGAGAACCTATTTTTGTGTAAAGATGTTTGCAATAAATGTATTTAATGCAAGTGGAGCTGGATGCTGTGCTTAAGCTAAAACTAGTTCTGGGTTTGTCCACCTTGATGCAGGCGTGAGGGCAAAGCCCCAGCAAGGAGAGGGGGTGTGGAAATGGGTGGTGGGGTCCCTCCTCGAGGAGTTTAGGGGTTGTGCAGGAACTACCAAGGCAGGCCCTGCCTAGGGGGAGTGTTGCTTTAGTCTAGGCTGACGATTGCCGTGTGGACTGAGCAGTCCTGGTTTAGTCAGGTTCCTGGTTAGGAAACTGCTTAAAAGTTTTGCCACAAATGCTTAAGGGCAGAGAAACAGGATTTGGAAATTGTACATTGTCATAAACCTTCAGGTGTTAAAGCATCACTGCTCTCTGCGTGGTTGTAGTTCGAGTTTGGGTTTTTGGGTTGGGTTTTGGGGTTTTTTTTTTTTTTAACTCTTTTACATTGTGGAGCTTCAATTGTGACCCTTTAGGGAGCAGATATTCTGCCCCGAGAGCGGAACTGAAAAGTGGTTGGAGCTGGTTGGTGGCTGTGACAGGCCCCCGGGAGAAATGATGTTTAAGGTGTCCTCAAAGAAAAAAAAAACACACATTAAAAATGTTGAAGTCTAGAATAAAATAACTCCTGTATTGTAATTCCTGCACCGGTTTCTTTTGTAAGCTTTAGGGATGGCTTGAGGCGAGCTGGGGGCTCGTGGCTCTCTCGGGGGGGTTTATTGTGACCCTCAAGCCCCAGCTCTTCCTCCCAGCGTCTTCCTCCCCTCCCCAAGGGCTCCATGGCGTGAGACCTGCGGCACAATAAACCCCCACCTTCTCTCAAACAAAACATTTTGCCCTGAAACTGTCCTAGTAGCAACTCCTGTCCCCTTCAGAGAAAAGCGGCAGCTCTCGGGGAAAAAAAAAAAAAAAAAAAAATGAACATCAGAGTTGTGCTGCAGCAAATTCAGAGGAAGGAGGGGGCAGCTCTGCCGTGGGAAGCATTTAGAGAAGGGAACAGCGCGAGATCCCGGCGTGGACCGACCGCCAGCACTTTACTCGCATGTTTTTACGCGATTTGCATCGAGTTGTTCGAGTCCATCTAAAACCACGGGGCAGGAGCTGCTCCGCGGGCACCCGCTGCCACGGCAGCTCCCTTCAGTCCAGCGCAGGGCAGGTCTGTCTGGCCGTGTGTCCGTCTGTCCCACCTGTGGGTGCTGGCTCCTGCCTGCGCGGCCCGGCGCTGAGAAACTCCTCCCCCCTACAGAATCATTTCTTTTTCCTGTTCAGGAGATGAGGTGCAGACACTTTCACTTTACCAGGGATATTTCTTGACAAATCTGTATCCTACAAAAACATTAAAGGTGAGACATTAAAACAGGGCAGAAGAGCCTTCACAACTTCCTCACCCTCGTTAGTGCCTCCAAGCCAGTGTTCCCCCCCCCACCCGAGAAAATCTGGCTGATGGCAGGCTTCTGCTCCAGCCCCGTGTTTAATTAATGACAGACTTAATGGCTTTCTGCACAGCTTCCACCCATCAGCTCCGCTGGGTCAGCAGTTCCCTGGGCACTACCTGTTCGCTTCAAGGCTGTTAACTGTGAATTGTGTTCTTCTAGCAGAGTGCCACCAAAATAAAAAAAATCAACAATGTCTGCTGCTGTTCGATGGTTTTGATCAGTGAACTGTTACAGGCCAACAAGCAGCTGTGTCAGAGATAAATGGGGATCAGGGAAAGGAGAAATAAACCCCCCCAGGAGGGAAAGGAGAAATAAACCCCCCTTAGGGGCTGGCAGTGCCCAGAGCCGAGCGAGCCACTGGAGAAACACAGCAAGGACCCAGCACTCTGGCAGGCAGGGACACGCCGCAGGCTGACGGGGCCAAATTGAGCAGGAAATGGAGGAAAGGGCAAGAGTAGAAGAAAAACCCCATGGGGTGGGCTGAGACCCAAGCAGAGAAACGACACCTTTACCCAGGCCCATGGCAGGCGAAAGAGGGTGGTGAGCGGTGCAGCAGGGAGTGGGAATTTTCCTTCCCAAAACTAAAGGATTTCTTGGAAGACTTCTTATTTTAAATCAAAAGCAACACAATAGAGAAACTAAAGCCCAGTGATACTGGTGGGGCTCAACTACTGATTCTTTCCAGCCTAAGCAGTACAGCTCCCCCAGTAGCACTGAGAAACACCACACTGCTAAAAAAATAAAATTTAAAAAAATCTGTAAACCACTCCCTTTTGGAAATATTTACCCCCCCCAAATGGCACTAGTGGACATTTTGCTGCCAATACATTTACACAAGAGAAGCCACGTAGAAAAACTAGTCACCTTCACGCTGCGGAAGAGGTCTTTTTCCCTTGCACTGGCTTCTTTGGATTGCATAAAATTATGCAAGGCGATCTTTGCAGCTGTAAAAACACGGGAGAGATTGAAACAGTGTGTGAAAATGTGCTGCCTTCACTAGGTAACACACTGAAAAGGATTGCTGAGCTTTAATACAAGTACCTTTTCCCTTCTTCTGGGTGCCTGGGGTGAGCTTGACTTTGTACCTTTCAAAAAAATAGAGAAAAAAAAAAAAAAAGAGTTTTCTGTAAGTAGTCGCAGGTCCTCCTGGGCCAGAACAAGCTCGCCCCCCAACCCTTCCTGCAGAAAGTGCTGCGACTTACTTATAGTTGGTCATGGCAGTGTAGGGAGCACAGATGGGAACAGCGAAGAGCAGGATGTCCTCGGGGTGGGGCTGGCCCGTCAGGGAGTCCAGCAGCGCTTCGCCTTCCTGCGCAGGCACCAAAATTGGAAAAAAAAAAAAAGATTTTCTGTGAAACCCACCAGCACCTCTCCAACCCCTGCATCCCGGTTTTGCCAGGACTCCCTGTTGCCACTGCGGGTCAGATCTCTACCAAAACGGAGTGAATTCAGCTTTGCCAGCACTGAATGACCAAGCTACCCCTCGTTACGGACCGTCTTTACACAAAATCACGTTATTTGAAACAGAATGGGGTTCGTTTTGAAGGACCCGAACGAGACACACACCCCCCCCGCGAAATGTTACATCTTCACAGGGTCACCAAAAGTCTCCCCCCCTCCAGACAACCGTTATCTTCTGTTGTTAAAGAATTTAAGGAAATCGACTTATTTCCAGCTTTGGGCAACACCCACAGCCTGTAATTACAGAAAACTTGGAAGCAATTATATGTAAATAAACTCGTACACTAAAGAGCAGCATGCTGGGGGGTGCAAACACCTCTGGAGGCAAAGGCAAGGGAAAAATTTCTCTAGCTGGCCCTGAGTTTCTAGAGGGGATGTACGTGATAAAAACAGGGTAGGAAGATAAAAAAGGGGTTACTTTTTTTTTTTGAGAAAAAAAATACAAGCGAGCTGAGTTCAAAGTCACAGACAAGAAGGGGACTTCTGCCAGCAAGGCCTCTGCTCCTGGGGGCCGTGTCCCACCAGCTTCCAGTGGGAATAAAACCTCCTCAGCACTGAGGGGACCTTCAGAGACGGGCGTTTACCTCAACTCCCGGCTGATCCTGGTCTTGCTCCTCCTGCACACACAAAATGAGACATCAGAGCTGACCTGAGCACACAACTGCCTTTTTTTTCTCCCCCCTCCCCAGTCCCTGAGGAAAATACATTCTTTTCTCAGCAGTACAAAAAGTCATGCTCTCACTGCCAAGAGAATTCAACTTATTTTAAAGCAAAGGTAAGACGACGGTTTTATGTGGGTGAGGGGAGGAATAATTCTTTGAAAACTTGATTTGCTCGGCCCAGGCCAAGGCGGGAGCAGAGCTGGGTTGTGATTCCCAGGCACTGACTCACAACAGCGGCTCTGGAGCACGCTCGGTTCCAAGTTCAGCTGCACCGAGGGGGAGGCTCTGACCTGGGGGACCCTCGGCAGCCCCCCGGCGAGGCTCTGTGCCCCTCCGAGCCCCCGCTCTGGCAGAGCTGGGCACGCAGCCTGCACACACTGCTGCAGGGCCGGGGGGGGGGAGGTTGGCTGCTTTTTGAAAACAATGGGCTGCTGGAGTCTGCAGCACCCCAAAACTCAGGGCTGCTCACCCACCCCGGGAGGGGAGAGCCCCCCAGTGCTGGGAGAGGCAGAGCAGAGGGTGAGGAGGGCCAGAGGAAGGCACGGGAGGGGTGAGGCAGGTTCGCTGCTCACCTTCTCCTCCTGCTGCTCCTCCAGGGCTGGGTCCTGCGCCTCGTGCAGCAGGATTCCTCCTGCGGGCGTCTCCTTGCCCCCGCCACGACGCACGGCCTTGGGTTTCTGCTGTTGCTTCTTTGCTGGCTCTTCTTTCGTCTTGCCCTTTTTCCCTTTTTTCCCTTTCTCCTCCTTGTTCGACCCTGCAGACTGTGGTGACGCAGAGGCGGTCAGAGCCCGTGACTGTGCCTCAGGGGAAGGCAGAAACTGCCCTCACTCACCCCCAGCAGCTTCATGATGAGCTCCCGGTCCTCCTCATCCTGGTCCTTGTACTTCTCCTTCATCTTCTTCATTTTACTCTGCAGAAGAAAATACCCCAACAGCTTTACAATGACTTTTATGAAGTTTTACACCCTCAGACAAACACCTAGATGCTGACCCCACATGCTCTTTCCTTCCAGATCTCCTGAACCTCCTTCAGAGCAGGTCACTAGTGACCAAGAGACGGTGGTTTCCGTGAGGAAAGCACAGTGTGTTCAATGCCAGCAACCCAGCACCATCACCCTGAAACCACTAAGAGCACCACCAAGAGCCAAAAATTACCAGGACACAGAATCATCTTGGTTGGAAAAGCCCTCGAAGCTCCTCCAGCCCAACCATGACCCTCCCCCTGACCGTTCCCAACTCCCCCAGATCCCTCAGCGCTGGCTCAGCCCGACTCTTCAACCCCTCCAGGGATCCCGGGGACTCCCCCCTGCCCTGGGCAGCCCATTCCAACGCCCAACAGCCCCTTCTGCACAGAAATCCTTCCTCAGAGCCAGCCTGACCCTGCCCTGGGCAGCTTGAGGCCATTCCCTCGGGGCCTGGCGCTGGCTCCTTGGCTCCAGAGACTCATCCCCCCTCTCTGCCCCCTCCTGGCAGGGAGTTGCAGAGGGCCAGGAGGTCTCCCCTCAGCCTCCTCTTCTCCAGACTGAACCCCCCCAGTTCCCCCAGCCACTCCCCAGCAGACCTGTGCTCCAGACCCTGCCCCAGCTCCGTTGCCCTTCTCTGGACACGCTAGAGTCATTCAATGGCCTTTTTGGGGTGAGGGGTCCCAAACTGAGACACCTGACAGAAACTGGGAATTTCTGTCCACGCTTCACCCATGGGTTGAGCTGTTGGCAGGTGAAGCTGGTCTCTACCTTTTGGCCCCGCTTGATGGGCTGCGGAGCCGGCGCACCCTTAGCAGCATTGGCAGGAGGAGGAGGTTGTGTTTCTGTCTCTTTCTGCTTCTCTTCGGGCGGCTCCAAGTTCTCAGAGTCGTTCTGCTGCTTCTTTTTTTTCATTTCTCTAAGGAAAACAGTCACTTGACACACACCGCCCCTTGTTGTGCTCTCCTGGCAGCGTTACCACCCCGCTTCCCTGACAGGGGGGAACCCAAGGCACATACATTAGAAATAACCCTCCTCAGTAAAACCTCTCAATACACAAAAACCTGTTTGTTTCCAGCACTCCCAGATGACAGGAGCAGCCGTTGTCCCACAAGCAGGACCCACACTGGAAATGCAGGACAAACAAACTGACACGGACCAGCCCAGACTGGGAGGTACAAGACACACCCAGCACCCAGGTCCTGGTGAGGGGACAGGACGGGGAGGAGATGGTCACCAGCTGCAAACACACAGAGGTTCTCACCTCCTCTCCTTGGCAGACAGATGCCTTCGCCCCTGGGACTTGCTGTCACTCTAAGAAGTGAAACGCAGTTAGAGCACACCCGTGTCCAGCAGCAGTTCACACTGCTCTGTCAAACATCGGAGCTGGGGCCTTACCAAGTTGGGTTCTTCCTCTCTGGGGATGATTTTCTGCAGGGATCTGTGGGGAGATCAAAATGGAGCCCATCAGCAGATGTGGAGCAGCTCAGCCGCAGTCCAGACACTGGCTAACTTAAGTCACACCACTTTCAGCATTTTATTTCACAAAAATCCCAGTTTTGGTGAATGGAAAAGGGCAGAAATTTACAAAACAAGTCTTCAGGTCTCTGCCAGCTTGTCTCACACGCACACACAAGCAACCGAGCCAGCCCGGGTACAGCAGGTGCTAAAGGAACCGCTGATGCTCAGCGTCCAGTGCGCGCAGCCCCGCTCAGCCACCGCGTTCCCCGCAGCCGCCCGGCTCCACCCGCTCCGTCCCGTCTCCTCACACCCTCCCGAGTGCCACAGCCAGGGAGCTGAGCTCAGCTCCCCGCCCACGTGTGGAGCAGAAACTCTGCACCCGCTGGGCAGAGTGGCAGCAACTCACAACTCTGTTTCTCAGAACAGCTCTGAAAAGAAAAGGGGAGCGGCCACCTCCTGAGGAGCAAAAGCAGCTCAAGGGATGCTTAGTCCAAAACAGGGAAGAGCAGCAATGAAAGAGCCAGATACCCCTGTGTGCACTTTAGGAAAGGGCTCTGAAACAAGCAGCCCAGGAGGAAGAGCCGTGCAGGGAAAGGGCAGGGAAGTGCAGCAAAGGCTTGCGGCCCTGCACACCTGAGCATGGAAGGAGTGACAACTCCTCACTGCCCCTGTCTGGGCAGCATGTGAACAGTCTGCAGATCCTCAGAAGCGCTCACAGAGCTGGTAAGCACAGCTGCTTCTTCACTTACCTTTGAGTCTGAAGATGTGACAGGTCGATTGTTGTATCTGGGTAATTTACCTCTTCCTCCTTCACTTCGCTCTTTGACTCCAGCTGTTCCACTTCATCTTCAGACTCTCCATCATCCTCTTCGGAGTCACCCTCTGGTGCCAGAGGTGTGTTTACTCTGCCCTGGTCAAGATCAGCGATGCCCTCGTCACGATTACTCTCAGATGTGGCTTCCACATCCTCTGGTGCTTCCTGACACTCTGCTTTTTCCTCTTCATTGCTGCTATCTCCTCCTTCTGGAGCGTGGTGAGGAAAACGGGTGAGGAAAACCACAGTTCACGTGAGAAACACCAAACCCCGAGCAGTCCCGTCTGTACACCCACTGTACCTAACAGCTCCACTTCTTCGGACACCAGTTCACTGGCGCTGCTGGAAACCGTTTCCAGATCCTCATCCTGCACTTTGATCTTCCTTTCTTCTCGGTGTCTCCAAACACAGCTTTCGTCCACCTAACAACAGAGGTGCCTTGACGTTAGGCCAGTGTCAGCCCCAGCGATGTTCACTAGCCCAGACAGAGAACACCTGATTCAGCTTTATTCTTTTAACACTTTTTGCCATTCAAAAAATCAAGGAAACTAACCCAGCACATTTAAACCCCAGTCTGACGAAAGCACAGCTAGTGAGGAGACACACGTAGCTGCAAAACCAGAAGACTGCCTAAACGTGCTTCAAACAGAGCTGGTATAAAAATCTAGCAGAGGTAGTAACGTTCACAGTGTCTGTTTTAAAAGACGACAGTGCAAACTGGGGGAGAACAGCAGTGAAAAGCAGAGTCATTTTCAGTGAGTAGCATTTTATGGGATTTGTCCCAGTGGGAAAAGACATAACTGGGAATATACTGATAAGCAAGAATCAGAAAATAAGCCTCCTACAGCTCAAACCAAATTACAAAAGCCAGCAGAAGCAGCACAGAGAAAGCAATACCTTGAACAAGAAGCTAAAGCCCATCATCAGATATGAAGGTGGAAGAAAATTCTTTTTCCCTGGAAAACAAAGGCAGATTCTCATGAGGAGGCTTAGCAGTTATGTTACATGATGTATTTTCAAAATTCATTTTTATCAGCGGCTTTAAGCTACCAAAAAATTACACTTAGGGCTTGTTCTATCTCTTGGATGACAACAGAACAGGAGAAACTCAAAAGCAGTTTAGCTAATGATCTTCTGTCCCAGGCTCAGCTATAACTGCCTGATATTCAGTCTAAACCACTCAGATTTTCAGCAGAAAAGCAGGATCTGCCAGGCTGGCATGCAGAAGGGGACAGCTGCAGCATCTTCAGACAAAACACCTAATTCACATTGTTCCTTTGTGGCTCACCTCGGATCATGAAGCTTCCAGTAGTGAGGTATTCTCCTGTAGGGGCCGTTTTAGAAACCTAAAAAACCACAAGAAACTGTAAAGAGTCTCTTGTCACAGAAAGCCAGTACTGTGTAGTACCAGCAACATTCAAGCAAGCTGTGTTTTTAACTCGTGGGAACAGCTCTGCAGGACTCTGTGTCCATGGGGTTCTTCCTGTCCTGTGTAAGGTATTTTCCCAAGAGATGTTTCAATCACACACTACTGGCACTATATTTTAGAAGCCCTGTGTGAGTAACTGGGTTATTCAGGAAATAACAACACTAAAGGCACTGCAACTTTCAGTTTAATGTAATCTCTCCACCCTTACACTCAAGTTGATTGGAAGCACAGCACGCCTGCAGTTAATACACAGGCTAGAAGCCTGACTGAAAAAAAAAAAAAAAGAAAACTTCATTTTCAATAAAAGTCACAGAATCCCAGAATCATCGAGGTTGGAAAAGCCCTTGAAGCTCCTCCAGTCCAACCATGAACCTCACACTGACCGTTCCCAACTCCCCCAGATCCCTCAGCGCTATGTCAAGTCCTTCCCCTCTGTTAGTAAGAAGCCAAACCTGGAAGATCACCTCTGCCATGTGCATGTTGTATCGGAGTTTACCCCTCCAGCCCTGCCCCTAAGCACCACAGAGCCAAGGAGAATCATAGAATCACAGAATCATTCAGGCTGGAAAAGTCCCTTAGGATCATCGAGTCCAACCATCAGCCTGACTACAAAGTTCTCCCCTACCCCACATCCCCCAACATCTCATCCAAACGACCCTTAAACCCCCCCAGGGATGGGGATTCCCCCCTCCCTGGGCAGCCTGTTCCACTCTCTGACCACTCTTGATAGGAAAAGTTTTTTCCTAATGTCCAGTCTGACCCTCCCCTGTTGGAGTTTAAAGCCATTCCCTCTTGTTGTGTCACTAATCCCCTGTGAGAAGAGACCAGCACCAACCTCTCTACAATGTCCTTTCAGGGAGCTGCAGAAAGTGATGAACCCACAAGGAACAGTTATCAGAGACCAAAACTTCACCCACATCCCTCAGTTCCCACAGAGATGCTTTGTCTGCAGCCAAGCTCCCCTCACAGGCCTCCCCTCCGAGCTTCTGTCTGCAAAGCTCATGCACGAGTGTCCTTACCTGGTTGTGGGAGACCCACCAAGCACTGGTGACAACACGGGCATCCCAGGCAGCGCTGTAACACAAGGCCATGGTGCCAGCCTCCGTCAGGGTTCGTGGAGGGATCGGTTCACCTACAAAGGAACACCCAGCACACCCCTGAACGCCATCCAGGCGCAGCAGGTGAAATTCTCCACACGCGCCCTAAGCCAGCGCGTGGGCTTTCCCCGGGCCTGCCGAAGCTTGAAGGTGGTAGAGACAGAGCAGAGGCAGCGTCAGCAGCTGCTTCTTCACAGCTCCGCACCAGAGGCTGCAGCCCTGCCAGCGAGGGCTAACCGTGCTCCTCGCAGCACAAGGCCTCCCAGGAAAGGGGTGCAGGCAGGCCGAGCTCCCTCAGGATCCATCCCACCACACCACCACTTCCCCAGCTGGGAGCAGCCCCCTCTGTCAGCCCCCAAACTGTTGATGACACCCACAAAAGCTGCAGCAGGGATCTGCGATCCTCCCCTCGCCCCACCGCGAGTGACTTAGCCCTTGTCTGTGAGCACATCTCCATTCCTTCCTGCCCGCCGGGGGCTCAGCAGAGCAATTGCAAGCTGTTGGGCCCATCGGGGAAGCGGCAGCACTGGGTCACAACCTGATCTTGGAAGGGCTGAGGCCTCCTCTCGCATCACCGAGAGCGAGTACCGCCGCGGGGTGGGGAAGGCAGCTCACGGGGCCGGGACGCGTAACGCAGAGACCAACAGCTCACAGTGTCCCCAGGCTTCTACGAGTCCCTGCGCCAGCCCTGCAGCACGTACCTGACGGGTTCTTGATCACACAGCTCGTGGCTCCGTGGAGATCCGCGTGCACGTATATGTCCCCTGGAAAAGCAGCGACTCAAATCAGCCACACACGTGGGAACCACACAGATCCCTCGAGCTAAGGTGAAGGTTTCTAACGTTTGTTGGAAACAACTATTTTGGCTGCAAGGAGCAGGATGGGAAAAGGATTCAGCAGCCTTTTTCCCATCCCAGTTGTCCCAGGGAGAACCAGCAGCTTTGCTGCTGACGGGCATCCGTCCAACCTACTCTTACCCACAGGGCTGGAGGGCCCAGCCTCCCTCAGCAGAGCCCCAGCACTCCACAGACAACACACACCGAGTCTCCGGGACTCACCTGCCCCAAAATCCCCTTTTACCCAAGACCCAACTTCAGAACAAAGCCAACAGACCTTCCTGTGTCATTCTTGTACGTTTATAAAACTGGAAAAAGAAGGGATAAACCAACAGACACCACTTAATTGGGCTCACCTGGTTTAAGATATCGCTTTACGATCAGTTCATTCTGCTGTTGATCTCTTCCAGCAATAATAAGGTAATTCTCAGAACTAATGAACCACAGGAACTTTTCAAACCTGCCAAATTACATCCATCCATTGTGTGAAAAACACCCGGAGCTGACAGAACACCACAGAGGTATATTTTTATACCAAACTCTTGAAAATATCCATCCTAGCATCTACTACTTGTAAAAGACACTGCGAATAGTTTCACATCTATCCATGTGTCTGAGGCACAGAAACAAGGCACAGTACAAATACAATATCACTGCCAACAGTATTTTGAGATGAAACAACAAGTACCATCGCTACAAAATCCTGTTTGTTTTTGTTTTAATAATTCAGTTATTAGACTATGAAAAGTTTTGCTTTTTTTCTTTTGGTGGTTTTTGTTTTTTAAATCTACTGTTACTATTTCAGATATTGAGCTGCCAGTTTCCTGTTTTCACTAAGCCCATATTCCTGGCTGTGCTAAAAGCAAAAAAGTCAGCTTAGCTCCATGTCCACTGAAAGGAACTTCCCCAGGCAAAGGCACTAGGAGGATCAGCTGTAAGGAGACTCAATACAAAGCATAGTGCTTAGAAATCATCTTTAACTCCACTTCTAAGCTAGTGGAAACTCAGCCTGATGCAGCCGTTCCAAATCTGGTGCATTCACAGGACGTTGGGTAAGGACAATGAAACTGTACTTGCCAATAGACCTTCCTCGCTTTCTGAATGGTGGTCACTGTCTGAACTTCCCTCAAGGTCTGCTTCGTCTTCTTCTCGGCCGATTTAAATGCCTGTTCAGACAGAAAGAGTGATCACAACCTGCCAGCACAGAATTGCTAACGGAACGGGAGGTTGGTTGCTTGAAAAAGCTCAGAGACGTTGCTCTGCATGCTGCTGCTCACAGGCCTGCACCCCCCTCGTGCACATCTAAGAGAGCTGCCCTAAAATCTCCATAAACCTCCACCCTGAGATTATCAGCTCTCTGACTGTAAGGATTTCCACCCATTTCCACTGGTCTGTCACCACCCAGCTGAAGTGTTCACAGTGCTGTGGTGGAAAGCAGACGGCAGAGCAGGGACCTGCAATCAGGGTCACCCTGAAAGCTTCAGAATGAAACAACCCTGCTTGGATGTTTTTACCTTCCATGTCTCATTGGGGCTACTTAGACCAGAGTCAGGATTTTCCACTTATCAAAAATAGGGACTTTGCTTTTAAGTATCTCCTAAAAAACAAGGAAAAAAAAAATACCTTTTCTGCAGCTTCTACTGTCTTCTGTGTTTTCTTAGCTGCGTGTCTTTTGTGATCATAGTACCTGCGAAACACAAGTTTATTGGCAGGTGAAACCCCAGCAGATTCACTCACTTTTACAAGCACTTATCATGGCCCTCTACATTTGCCCTTAAGCATTCAGTTTTGAGATTTTATTTTTTTTTTAAGCCCAGATCTTTGGCTTAGTCTTCACCTGAGAAAAGCAGCCAGATGAAGTAAGTCCCCTTCTCAGACAGAGAGAGCAGAGCATTTGGGTTACTGTCCCTTGTGTCACTGTGCAGGATTGTACTCAAAATTAAATTAATGTGATAGCTAGAGACTAGCTGCTATGCAACAGCAAGACACTGGTTTTGGACCAAGAAAATGCATGTCCTAGAGCTCAGGGCAAGCTACTCACTTCAACCTCTAACTTTTATTTTTAAAAAGATACACACAGAGCCCTTCCTATGATGTTATCACTAATAACTGCAAACATACAGAAACTAGCACCAAAACACACGTTCACTGTAAACCTTACTTTTTGGCATTGGCATACGCAGACAGACTGAGATCAACATCAACTAACGATGGTTTGTTTTTCTGAGGTTTCTTCAACTGTTTGTTTTTATTCTTTTTCTTTTTTCCCTTTGGTTCTTCTGTTTCTTCCTTCTCTACATCAGCATCCTCCTCCTCCTCTTCCTCTTCAGATAACACATATGGGTTCCTAAAAACACATGACATCACATGATTAAGATAAGAGTTATTTTTCACCCTTAGTGCAACGCACTCTTATTTCTATTCTCTCATAAAGACTGGAAACCCTTAAACCATTTTCACTCTGCAGCTGCAGAAAGGCCCCAGGATGTCTTACATGCAAGTTTATGTCTTGGAGTCAGCCAAAAAAGAAAACAAAGGTAGAAGATAGAGTCCAAATTTTCCAATCCAAGAAAGTGACATTTTCCAGGGCAATATCTTCTATCAAAAGGCACACATCCATGCTCTCAACCTAGAGAAAAATCTACTCAAAATGAAGAACCGTTCTGAAGATTTCATAAAGTAAAAGAAACACATTCTGCGTGTGAACGCTGCATGGAAAGAGAACAGTTACATCAACATACTGACTCACTGGACAGGACAGCAATGTGCAGGTTTAAAACGTCAAAAAGGATCTGCCCTGCTGTTTTCAAAGCATGCTGAGCACACATTAGCTCGATTTGTATCTGCTTCTCACCAGGACATGAAACCCTGCTTGATACAGCTGTACTAAGGCTGTGTAGCAAAAGGAGACAGAGCATAAAATCATGTTTTTCATAAAGAGAACTAGATGTCTGTAGTCCTCTGTACTAAGGACGCATGATTCAGCGCTTAGTGGACTGAGGGGTTGGATCAGCAAACTGATCATCACTCGCTGCTAAAACTGACAGATGTGTCTGATGACAGTTGCCAACACAGAACTCACTCCTGGCAGCATGCTTATTCTATACACTAACATTTCTGAAAGCGAGGTAGCTAAAAATTCATTAATTAACTTTGCCATATTACGGCTTTCATACCAGAAGTTCTAACTATAAAAAAAGAAATTCTTGCTTTTTTCTCTCTAACATCCTGATGGGGTATCAGATCAGGTTTTTAAAGACACTCCAAGTCCTGCCTCACTGCCAGCACTCTCATCAGGACCTCTGCAAGAACCAGCATCCACACTCACAGCTCCCAACAGCCATGGTCTTGAACCATCGGCTGCTCACCGGACTGCTGGGAGCAGCCAGCAGCATCAAAAGGGTCGGGACTACACGGGGATTTTAGATCAAAGAGTAAATCTGGGAGAGTTAACTGCTGACTGACAGACTGAAGCGTTGGACCTACACTGCCTTAGGACACCTTCCAATGTTTTAGACTATAGTCAGACTCTAAAAATACCAATAGAAAAGTTATTACAGTAACCAAATTACCATTATTTTTCAAAGCAAAAAAGAAGGCATCCCTCTGCTCACAGAACTATGTTCTTTTCGTGCTGCTGTAAGAAAAACTGAACAATTTAAATACCAATGCACAAGCTAAAAAGATACCCGTCTCCTGCACAGCCTGCTCGGTCCCACTTGCCTTTGGTACAGGTGACCTGCAACGTACTTACCTCAGCAGCATTGTGATATGATTTGTCTGAAGCTTTAATTCTTTGATTGCACTTGCAACGGGGTCTCCCTGTGCCTGAGCTTCTTTAACGATGGCTCCAATCTCCGTCCAGTCTATCTGGTTGGCTAACGCGCTACGGACCACCTGGATGGCCCGGTCAACGATCTCCAAGTTCATTTCTATAAGTTCTCCTTTCATCTTATCAGCTTCCTTAAGGAAAGAAAAAAATTTATACCCATTGAAGCTCAATACACACTCAACAATAGTTTAAAAAAAAAAAAAGTAGTAATTAATATTGAAATGAAATCCAAGGATGGCGTTGAAGTGATCGTAGAGGACAACAGTCAAACTGACTCCTGGGAGCAGAGCAGCACAAAAAAAATTTGGCAAGAGTGGTACAAAGCACTCGTAAGAAAGCAGAGCCCCACTGGGCCGGCCTAGGCTCCTTCAGGGGCTACAGCGTGCTCACCGACAACCAGGCTTTGCTCTGGGGTCTAACGCTGACCCTAGCAATGCAGACCAACAGGTACAGCACTTCAAGAAACATTATATATCTTCTTGGTTAAAAATAAAAATAAATTTAAGAAAATCTGAGTTTTACCTGAGCTTGCTGAAGAGCTTCCAGTCTGTGCTCATGGTCCCTACGGACATTTTCAAGTTTCTTCAATGCTTGTTTTTCCTTTTAAAAATAAATAAGATGGAAAAAATATAACTACAAATGGCACCTTATCACCTAATCACTACAAGACACTCAATGCAGCATTCCAGCACAGAAAGACACAGAGATGCAGTCTCCAAAATACTGTTGTTAATACTAAAACCTGTATTCCAAGCAGAACCAACTGCGACGTTATACATCTTGAAATCCGCTCCCTGACCACCCCTGACTCAGCATTTCCAAAAAAAATAAGGAAAGACACCTCCCTCACCCCAGGCTACAGGAACCAAACGAAGCATTTGAAGCTCTGAGAGCCACCTCAGCTGCCCCACTCTTAGATGAGAACATACCTGCTGCAATGCTTTCAGATCAATTTTCTGTCCCTCCAGCTTGGAGTAGAACTCGTCTGCTGCCTGCAAGACAGAATCAGATTTAAGAATCTCCAAGTGGTCCTAACTCCTACCAGCAACAAGCAGGCAGAGGAGGTTCCACTCAAGGGAGGTGGCTGCAAAGCACCATAAAGAGAGGAGACAGATGCTAAAACAGGGTTCAGTAACTTCCTCCATTTCACCTTAGCATGAGAGGAATTTTGAGGATATGTCTCACCACAAACTAGGGGTTATGCACACGACAGTAAGTGCCCAAACTATGGCCCACGTTTTTTGCTAAGAAATGATGAAAAGGAAGCTGTTTGACACAGTGTGCTCGTCAGATTAAATGACTGCAATGATAGACCTGTCTGCCCTGAATTCCTGCTGCTTCAATAGATCAATTTAAAAAAAAAAAACCAAACACAACTAAAAAGTATGCCTAAGACTTGCTCGTGGTATGCCAGTTGCCAGACACCGTGCTTGGAAGAAAAGAGGAGGAAGGTTTTAGGCTGCTTGTATCATCACTGCTGTGAAGGAGAAATTCAGCTAAGAAGCAGGACAGGAAAGTGAAGTGGGAATTCTGGAGATCAAGGTCAGGAACAACACACAGTTCATGATTTCAGATGTTAATGAGTCAAGGACTAGGAAGGACGACACTCAAGGAAATCGTAAATCAAGTGCCCAAAGCTTTTAAAGTAGCAACTGGGAAAATATAAACGTGATGACTGTTTGCCTCCAGCAATGGCTCAGCGTCTGAACTCTCCACTGACAAAATATCTGACCAGGACTGGTAACAGCCACCTTCCCGAGAGGCTCAACCCCCTCCCCTGCTCAGTGCCACGGGCTGTATTTCAGCTACAGGATCTAATTGAGTTAATAAAGACAACCCTACTCAGCAGGAGCCTAAAAGCCCTGTGTTAGTTGGCCTTTTCTGCATTAAACATTTATCCATAAAATGAATCATCTCTTCCAAGGTCTATGTTTTCATTAACAACTTCTGCACTCTATTTTAATTACTCTTTTTAGCATCAGTCAATTAAAGCACTTAAGTACAGTATCAGCAAAAGCACTGTACCTTATTGAATGAGTCAAATTCCAAGTAGGGACATTTTGAATGTTGAGAAAACAAGAAAGGATGAAATTCCTCATATCTGTAAAATACACATTTGATATTATCACCTGAAAACTAATTTATGTTACGCAGACTAGTAAAAAAAGAAATAAATACTTCAAATATTTACGTGTAGATGTCTTCTGCTGGTTTATCTGGTTCCAGACTTGGCTTTTTCTCTCTTTTCTGGATAATATAACCCTAAAAGAATACATAAATACGTCATCAGCATCTGTCTTTGAAAAGGATCCCCCTTATCTTGGCAAGGCAGCAAGTTTTAGGTGCTAACCTACTGATCAGCATGAGAATGTAAATCATTCTGGCAGGGAGAGCTTGTGGCAGGAGCAATGTGACTCAGTAAAGCCCTGAATGTCTGCTTGACTCCAATTTCTTCCAGAAAAAAAGGTGAACTCTTACAAACCTCAGGACTATCCTGCAGCTTATCACACTAATGCAGTTTACGTGCAGAACAGCTTTACCCGCTGTGCAAGCACAAGTGCAATTCTCACAGGACCTACGTAATCTGTTTTGTGAATTATTTAATTGCTGCATAACCAGTGCAAGGAAGCAAGTTTTATTCCCCGTCACTACCTGGAGCCCAAGCTCACAGACTAAAATCTGATGACACCAGGAACAATCATGTGCTGAGCAACACCTGCCTACCAGTTTAGTTCTGCAATTCCTGCACAACTGATAACCGAGCTGCCCACCTGAGACCCACCTTTCCACTGAAGTTGTCAGTTAGTGTCATATATTCTTCTGCTTTCTCTAAAGCAGTAAGCACTTTTTCAATATTTTCTAAAGAGAGAGGGGGGAGGAGAGGAATATTTTAAAACACCTAGAACAGAAAGATATTTTGATATAAACAAAGCACAACAGCAAATCAACAAAAGGCCCAGGCAACTGCTCTTCCAATTAAGTGCCTGAAGCAACCTGTCCAACCTAAACACGTTAAATAGGATTCTAGCAGGTCTCAAAAATAAAATAGCAGCTATCCTTTACCCCTGGTGCTTCACTACAGCAATTACTGTTTATTTTAAACAGGAGCCTCAGCATGCATTTTACATCTGAGGAATTTTTAATTTAAAAAAAAGTCTATATAGGTACTTTATTAATTATTCAAGTTTCAGAAAAAAAAAAACAAACCACACCACATAAGTGCTAACACTTTATATAAAAATAAAACTGCAAAGGCAAAGCATAAACCAGTAGCTGTGAGAAGTTATTTGTTTGTTACAACACTGATTTATTACAGCACCATAACGCAGCAGAAAGTAAAAAAACCTTTGGATTTATGGCAAATATAAAGCACACAAGAAAAATAAGACTAGAAAAAAATCTATTCTGACTTTATTACCCAAATCCATAATTTCCCAATCAACATAAAGCTGCTACTTTATCAAATCCCCACTGTGTGTGCTATATCTAAAAGAAGACTTTGATGCTAACTCTTCTATATGGAATTCTTGCAGAACATCCCTTTTGTTCACCTGACACGTTATAAAACAATTTAGACTATAGGGGCAGTCTGATGGTTTTTCTCCAATATATGCACAATACAAGAGTGTTAATGTGAACAAGGTTGATCCCCAACTTAAACACATTAAAACCATATGGTCAGAACTACAGGTTTAAGGGTTACTCACCTCTTTGGAAAAAGAATACTACAGCGACATAAAAACTATCATATTTGTAGTAGAACCTTTAAAATGCTATTTCCCACATACCTTTACTTTCCATATGCTGATCTATTTTGACATAACCAGAAAATCCAGCTTCTATAAGGCAATGCTCAATGAGAGTGGCTCCATAAGCTGTTTTAAAAAAAAAAAAAAAGACTCATCTGTAGAAAACATTCACAACGAAATCTGTAGTCACACAGAAATGACGAAAAGTGTTCCAGCAAGCTAGGGCCATGAAACTACAGCAAATCCCTAGTGAGGCAGGGGAGAGCAAGGGAGTTGTGGTCCCAAATTCCTGAGGCAGAGAGAGATGATCAGGAGCCCCAGGGTGGCCCTTGTGGAACCGCTGGGCTGGGCAGAGCAGCTGGGTCTCAGCTCACAGCTGATCAGTTCTTAGAAACTTAAGGATGCTCAGGCTCATCTGGAACTGGGAAAGGTCTAGAACAGAGTGAGGACATACAGGAAGGATGGGCTTCATCTGGGCCCAAATGGAATGAAACGTTTACATTTAAAAGGGGGTAGGAAAGATTCCGAACTGAAGAGTGTAGGAAGCCCAACCCTGGGGTGGCAACTGCCTGGCTTATGGTAGGGTACTAGAAAACGTGAAGGTGTACAATCTCTGCAGCTTCAAATAAAGAATTAGGAAAAAGCTGGTAAAGACAAACATGATTCGAGTGACAACAGAAACAGATGCAGCCCCGTATGAACAGGGTGCAGACAAACAGCAAATGCAAACAGATATAAGCTCCTCCAAAGATCCTTCAAGGCTAAGAAACAAGACGGGCCATGGAAAACCAAGTTTAGTTAAGAACACTGAGAAAAAGCAAAGCAGAACCAGGAAGGAAGGAAGACAACCCCTGGGACAGTGCTGCACCAAGCTTACAATGACACAGCCGGGCTTAGAGTAGGTGAACAGGATCTTAAAGAGTCCAAACAAATTAACAGGATCACCACTTGAAAATAAACCAGCACAGTGCTGTGGGAATGAAAAGCCAGGCCTACATCTGGGAGATGGAGTATTAAGGCTGCAGTTGTTAACTGCTGGTCACCCTAATGTGCAGAGGGACAGCCAAGAGGCTGTGAAAGCCAGACACAGACCAGCTAAACCAGGTTTCAATCAGCCCAGCCTGGCTGGATAGATGCCATGTCATGGTACAAGGCTGACACTAAAATTTACCTGGATCCAAGCTAGCACCATAAAAGCCTGAGCAATCTCTTACAGGCATCCTCAGCGCAAAAGGGAAGGTCACATAAACCAAGGAAACTTCTTAGAAGGAAAGAAATTAAAACAATTAATAAAAGGCAACTTCTGCAAACAACCTGCAGGCTATTTAAAGATGTCATTTTGGAAGTTCAGAACAAACGTATACCGCTTATTAAACAGTGTTTCAGAAAAAATCCAAGGAGGGCTGGTATGACTAAACAGCGAGTTAAGAGAAACTGTTAAAAGCAAAAAGTCATCTGAAGTTGTGTCCCTTGCAGGAAATGGGAGACCAAACTGTCAGGTGAATGTAAAATGCAGCAACACTGCCCAAAATTAATCATGAGAAAAATCTGAAAAAAAAAGGTCGAGATTAATAACGAAGCCTTTTCCAGATATATCATAATCAGCAGGTTCAAGTGATCAAGGTGCAAAAGGAATACTCAGACATGACAAGAGCAGGAAAATTAAATTAATGTCTTGAGTTTCTTTCACAGTGTAGAGGCAGAGGGAAGCTCTGGCTGGAACGTTTTTCCGCAGGCAGTATGTCAGAAAATCTGTCTCAAATCCAGCTGTCAGGAGAAGTGAAGGATCCAACAGGCAAAACAAGCAGCAGCAAATCCTCCGGATCACGCAGCACTCAGCCAGACATTTAAGAGACCTCAAGGACAGAGATGCCAAACTGAACTACAGCTTGCAATGTCTCTCTTGCCTTAGCAGCAGAAGCACATGGATTTTTGCACTGGCAATTTTAAAAAGGGACTAGAAAACTATCAACCATTTTTAGCCTAAAAACTAGAACTAGCAGAGAGCTTTGCACTAGATAGAGACGAGTTTTGTATTTGCAGCATAACACTACAAGACAGTTAAAAAGCACAAAGGTGAGGGAGGTCAAACAGACCAATCTACTTGGATTTCCAGAAAGCATTTAGCAAAGGTCACCCCAAAGCTCTCAGAGAAAACAAGGTGGCACTGGGTAACAGGATAGCCCCTGCCTGGATTAAAAATGGGGCTGAAAAACAGGAAACAGGGAGGAGGTATAAACTGTCAGGGAGGAAAGCTGAGCTCTACAGGGACCTACTCCAGGGCCTGCACTGATCAACACGCACCAAACTGCCCCAGAAAGGGGGAACAAAGGGCAAGGGACAAAACCTTCTGATGAAACACAACTCATCTAAGCCACAAAGACAACAGGCAGTTGGAAGAACTGGAGGAGATGGAGCAATAGTGAGTGATTAAATAAAGAACTGACACATAAACTCACTGGAAAACAATACGAAATTATGTATGTGAGGAAAAACTATCCTACTTATGCAGATGCCCCGCTGATGATTTCTTCTGGGAGCAAGACCTAACAACAGATGGTCCTGTGGAGACATAAGCTCAATTGTCAGTGAATACAAAAGAATCAAGCTGTGTGGGGAAATTATTGGGAAAGAAACAGTGAACAAAATGAGGCGAATCATGCCACAGTATAAATCCATGGTGCACGTCCACTGTGAATGTTATGTACACTTTTACTTCCCCCGTTTCAAAACAAGGAGAGCTAGAAAAGGCACAGAGAAGAGCAACAAGGATAATCACAGGCTTGGAACAAGGCAAGACTGTGTAGGCTGTGCTGTAGTCTGCTCAGCCCAGAAATTACTAAGACTAATAAAATGAGTGGTGCAGAGTTGGTAAATAGGCAGCAACTGTTCACATTCTCTTCAAATCCAGTACTAGGGCACCAAGTAACACTGGTGAGATGAGTTGCAGAGCAAAGAAAGGATGTGATTTTTCATGTGGCACGCAAGTGGCACTCCTCACCACAAAAACACTGCGGGTGCCAGAAATCCAGACAGGTTCAAAAAGAGATTTGGTAGATACACACAGAAGGAAAATCCAACCCAAGGTATTGAATACATAGACACCTGCTGACTGGTCATGTGAAGGCTCTGAAACATAAAACTGCTGGGAGTGAGACTCTTCTGGGAAAATATTGGTGTGTCTGGTAGGGCTGCAGGCTAGTGGCAGGGCTGGTGACCAGACACTGGCCCGAGGTTAAGCTGACCACACGGGACGTGAGGAACTACAGGACACAACAGGAGAAACTGCTGGACATGCTGCCAGCAGCATGAGAAGCAGCAAAAATGAGAGAAGCAGCAGGAGGAATGGCCAGGTTTCACAGGTGGTTAAGGAGTGGGGTGAGAAACAGCTGAGCTCACACAGTAAGTGAAAGAATTGTGGACCTCAGAGAGAGTGGAGCCTTGCCAGGCCAGCTGTGTCTGTGAAACCAGAACAGTAACACTCTACAAGGCCAAGGTTAGCTAGATAACAGTATCAGAAATACCAAATTCGGGTATGGATACAGCAAAACTGGGACCAGTGGGGGAAAGTAACTAAAAGTGGGGTGTTTATGTTGGAGGAGACCGGGATGGAAAAAGAGAGGGACAAGAGTGGTGAAAAAGAGATTCAAGAAATGGGGAAAGTAATACTTAAGTCTGCAAATCATGTGATGTGAGCTGTTCAGGGGTACCTGCCAGGCAATCCTGTGCTGGATCAACACTGCCAAATCAGGGGATAAACCAAACTCCTTCTGATCACGTCACACAGATCAAATTTGTTTCTATGGCGAGGAAAACTGAGGCGCAGGGTGCTTTGCCCAACTACCAGAGAACACCCAGACAGACATTTCAAGCATCCTGGTATTACCACATCAGTACTTGTTCCAGGACTGGCAGCACTGGCATCCTCCACCCACTTCCTAACAACACCCTTGCCCTGACTGTACGTGTAAATCTCCTGATTGGTACCACTAAGGACAAGACACTGGGCAAAATGCATCGAGTCAGCACTTCAACAGGGTCCTCATCACCGCAGGATCATGGCAAGGCTTATCTCTTTGTGCAGCTGGCTTAGAATAATAAAAAAAAAATATATATCTACTCTCTTCTCAAAGGCTTAGGAATTTTGTTGTTCTACAAACATACATAAAAGCAAATTGTCACAAACAACAACAAAAAAAAGACTGCTTGAAGCTGTTCAAATTTTCAGCATCATCTAAACATAACACATATTGACCCCATTTCATTTTCTAATAAAAAACAATTACTTACGGAGATGAGGGTTAAGAACCCTCTTCAGTTGTTCCCCTTTGGGTGCATTTGATACTATTTCAGTTAACCTGCAAAGGATAACGGAGAGTTGCAAGAGCACTGGGTTTTAAGACTATGTTGTATCACTTAGAAGCTACAAAACATTTAAAAAAAAATTTAATTTAAAAAAGAATGTAAAATGGCCTGTAATATGTGAAAAGACTACACAAACACATGCTGCCTTTCATAGTTTCGAGTAATTTGGGTTTATTCCGACACTGGCCCCATCTAAAAGCAATTACCTTTCCAAGGTTGGCAGAGGTGCAGGTGCTTTTGCACTGTCGATCGGATATCGTTCCCGAACCGCAAACCTGACGTCATCCGCTTCATCCGTGCGAAACCTCAGAATGTTTAAAATGACATATTCGTGGTCTGTCAGGACAACGTTACCCTGCGAGCACAGCACAGGGGGACCGTCAGCAAAGGCCACGCTCAGGTGCTGACTTACAGAGGGCACGGGTGGAGCTTCGCACTCACCCTGTCGTACAGCTCGACGATCAGGTGATAAGCAGCTTCATCGCTTCCAAACTGGAAGTCCACAATTCTGTCTATGCCCAGCTGGTTTACACTGACAAGTCTTCTGGTCTTTAAATGCTTACGGCACTGTCAATGATGGGATAAAATGTGCGTAAGATGATGCAAACAGAGCTGCTTGGGATGTTTTATAGTGAAATAGATTCTGAGCTATAGATGCCTCGCGTGACACTGACCACTTCTTACTGAATACAAATACCATAAGGGTAAAAATGCTGATCTTGGCAACTCAGAGATGAGCCAGCTCTTTAGCTCAATAATACCTTGATATTTATAGGCAATGTAATGGTTCCAGATTCTTAACGTCAAGCCATTTTTGCCACTAAAACCCCCTATTTGTTTAGCTCAAGAACTGAGTAGTTAAAATTGAAAGGGTTTCTTTTACAAAGAGAACTGGGATTATCCCCACACCCACGCATGACGTGGAAAGTCACCCTGGAGAACCTTTGCTGAGTCATTTCAATGAGGCTGCGGCCAGAGGCGGGGGGCTGAGCAGACTCAGGTTGCATCCCTGCAGATCTACCTGCAGGAACGGGGCCTAACAGCCTGCAGCAAGATCTGAACCCTCCACATCCAGCAGATGGAACAGCAGGAGTGTATTTGGGACATTCGTCCTAAAAAATTAAGACAATCCACTGGGAATAACAAGGACTTTGCTGGAGTAAAATTCCAAAAGGTCTGGGTGGCTCAGAAAATGTCCAGCAGATTAATATCGGTCTTCATAAATTTAAATTTGCACTGTTTCAGGCCCTGAATATCTACGACATGACCCTAAAACCTCATTTGCTCTTCCCTCGTCTTCAGCCACCCTCGTGATCAGGATCCACCAGGCAAATCCTTCCACTATTTTCTTCTGTCTTCAAGGACAGAACATGAACGTTGCTTTCTGATACCCAGCCACCCGATTCAAAAGAAATTGTAGGTTAGTTTACCTTCATTGCAAAGCCAGATGGCATCATGTTTTTTGGCCACTCGAACTCAGTTGTGTGAATGCGTATGCCAGATTCAAGCAGCAGCGTGGCCTTGCAGTCTGGTCTGTTAAAAAAAAAAAAAAGTAAAGACTCACCACTTGGCACACGAGCAGTCACCCCTTACCCCGCGCCTGTCTGCACCAGAATGAGACCAAAGCACCCCCAAACCAGCAGCACTCTGTCTACAGAAAAAACTGTTGTGGAAACCAGCAAAGCCCCCAGTGCCGCAGCCAGGCTGACAGCAAAAGGACATCCACGTTTTAAGCTTATGGACAACGTGGCCAAGCAAAACTCTTGGCAAGCAACGGAGTTCAAAATTCTCCAACACAAGTGGAGGCAAGCAGGTGAGCAAGGATCCACCTCAGACATGGATTAGTGAGGTAAGAGGAGCCTGGGCACCAGTACTGCTTCCTAACTGTTGCTTTTTATTCCTCCAACTCCTCTCTTCCCCCCCCAGAAAAGAAACAATGACAACTGTGTGTTATTACACTAACACTTATGGCCTTTTGTGTATTTTCTGCAGTATTTCACACTTCATATGCTATCTCCTGACACCTTCCTGGGCAAAAATTACTGCATTTTATCAAACAACAATAGAATTTCACTGAAAACTAGCCAGAAAAGTCATACACCTGTCAACACAAATTACACGCATACAAAAAAAACCTAGTTCTCATAGGTATAGTAACAGCATAAAGAAATTGAAAAAGTTCTTACTTTTGAAGGCGAATAAGATATGTCTTATTATCCACATCATAAACATTGTTTACTCTCATTCCCAATAAGCTGTCAAAAAGAAAACATATGCTTTGGAGAATATGATACACGAACCACATAAGGGGCTGAAAAAACCCCAGTGATAATCAAAATATACAGAAGTGCAAGATATGATAAATTGCCAAGAAGATTGAGTTGGAAGCCAAACAACCAAAAGAGGGAGAAATTGCTATTAATGGATAAAGTGCAAAAAGCTAAACAAACTGATGCAAGGACAGCCACTGTGGACACCCCCACTGCAACCTGACAGCTTCTGGATCTCCAGTGCAGGATGATAGCCAGGCTGCTGGCTCCTGCAAAATTTACGGGTTATACTGGAGTGGTCTGCTCCTCTGGGATAACTTCATCAGATGGGGAGCCCTTTGCCAGCATGGGGCACCAGTATTCCCAGTACAAGCACAGAAACGGTCTGAGGGCTCCATCTTGTCCTTCTTTTGTTCAGAGTGCCCTGGACGCCAGAAGGGTATCAGAGCCCCATGGGGCCCGGACCTGAGGAGCTTCTCAGCTCAGTGGGAGAGTAGGTGACAGACCACAGCGCCTTCCCCGCGCAAACAGGGAAGGAAAAGCACCCAATTGCACCCCAGGGAGAGGCTGGGAGAAGGAGCAGGACAATGAGGGGGGGAAACAAGAGCGCCAGGCCTTCCCTGATGGTGTGAGAGGGGAGGCAGAGAGGACTCGGCGCTCTGTGGCAGGAGGGGTGCTGGGGGCCACCCGGGCAGCGTCAGACAGGCCTGTGCTGCCCCGTGGTGCTGTGCAGAGGGGCAGGGCAGAGCGGGGCAGGACACGGCGGAGGGGCAGAGCGGGGGTGGGCGCGGAGCCCTCCCTGCTCAGCGCCGTGCGGAGCCTGGGCTGCCGGCAGGAAGCAGAGCGGCCCCACACAGCCCCGGTGTCACGGCGGGGACGGCCGGGACGGCCGGGCCAGGGCCAAGAACCGCCGGGCTGAGGCTGGGCGTGGGGTGAAGAGAGGCGCTACCGACCAGGCCGGGCCCCGCTCCT